AGTTAAAATTAATTTTCTATGATTTTTTGAAGTTTAAAACAATTTAAATATAAAAATCAGAAATAAAAATAAAGTAAAAAAATGTGGACCAATGATGAGAGTCAAAACGCGTTAGTAAGATAATCCAATGGATCAGACGCGCTGTGCATATCATGGTCTTTAGTGAATAAAGCATGGAATCAATTATTTAAATCAGATTTGAAAAAATGTGTGGCACATCTTCATTGGTTGATAGATGAAACGTTGGTTATCTTCAACCTCCAGCCAACGAATCTGCAGGTTCTAGAAACTGTAAAATTAGAACACGAGACCGGTACCATTCGTATCGTCTCTTCAAGACGATTCGAATGGTACCTTCGCGAAAAATTTATATAAACTATAGCTCAATCGTTTTTGAAAAGAAATTCTGAAAAGGGATTTGAAATTTCATGGACAAAACGTACTTCCAGTTGAAAATAAGTGTTGCGACTAGAATCAGAATGATGAGAGCTTCATAATAGTATCAAAGTTTGAGAGAATTGACGAAGGAATCTACCTATTGAAGTTAAGTTGCAGAGCTCTGAAACTGGACTTAGCTAGCACGATTTAGGAAGTCTTCGAGCTTAATTCTTCTTCTGTTAGCTTCAGTGAAGTTCAAGGAAGGTGAATTGACAAAGAAAAATGATTGAGAAAGACTGTAAGAGCAAATTTAAAGTTGTAGAAAATTGAGTTCATGAGGAAGTTTGGCAGGGTGATTCTGGTTCTCTAAGCTTGAGAAAATGAATGAGGTATGGTCCTCTATTTATAGGGAAGCTGATTGAATGCTCAAGAGTGTGAAATGATGAAGTTTGGGGGGAAATTGTGTGAAGTTACAAACAAGAAAAGTGTGACTTCTAATTTGATCAAAACTCATCCATACCTTGTGTTTTAATATGCTAATCACTTCTGGAGGTTCACTAAATATGTTTAGAAGCAAAAGTGTGCAGAAAAATGTGTTTAGAAGATAAATCAAGGATTTCAAATTTTGACTTTTGAAGAAAATTCAGTTTCAAGTTACCAAGTTCAAATCAATGGCACTCTTAGCTCAAGGAGTCTTAGGACATGATTCTTGATGCTTTAGAAAGATGAGATCACAAGCTTTACAATATGCAAATAAAGGAATCAAATGGACGCTTGAGCTGAAAATTATGATGAGTCAAAGTTGAGAAAAAGAGGTTGACTTTTGTACTTTGAAAAATTCTAAGTTTTTTCTTCAAAAATGACTTATAATGTCTTACATCCAAACATGGCCTTCCATTTCAAATTTGCTCTTGACCAAAAAAGATGGCATGAAGTATATCTCTTGAATGAAATTTTGAGACTTGAACCATTTAAAATGTCCAAAAAATGAAAAACTTATGACTTGTTGAAATTGGTAAAAATTCATAAAATGACTTATAATATTTTGCATCCTTAGGGCATCTTCCATTCATTTTCACACTTTGCACTTAAAAGAAGGGATTAATTTCACATCTTTAAGATCAATATGGAAAAAGAATGGGCTCAAGGTGATAAAAATAGACCAAGTTATGATATTTTGAAGTCACATATGGGAATTTGATGGTTTGTTTAGAGGACTTGTAATCTTTCTTCATCATTAGGTATCTTCCTCACAAAATTTCCTTGAAAATTTTTAAGTGATTTGTTGATATCCCTTTAAAGAGAAGTATGTCTTTGGAATCACCCAAAAATACCAAAATATGAGCAAGCTATACCCCTTTGAAGTTCAAAACCCTAGCTCCTAGAGTAACAACATGCCTTGGGAAACCTTTGCAATTTGGACAAACTTCCTTCTACAAATACTTTTGTAATGTAAATAGAAGTTGTTGAGGATGATAAGGAGACACCATAGAAACCAAAACCACTTCCAAATCTTGAGAATTGAGGGAGATATGCACTTGTGATCAATGAAACTAAAGACTCGTCCAACTAGGTCAAATTTCTTCAATCAACCCTTGTACCTTTGAACTATTTTTGACAACTTGAGGATGATGAATCATAATAGACTTTGTCATGATATTATTTCAAAATATATTCAATAATGAAGCTTGAATCTCAATGAAGCTTTGTTCAAGAAGGTATGGAAATAAACTCATGAACCTATGGATCAACTTGATGGGATGTATTGTGCTTTCACCCATAATACCAATAATTAGAGCAAATATTCATTGTACTTATTAGTAAAAGTTAATCAATACAACACATTGATGATCACAAAATACAAGTCAAGGTGTTTGGTGATTCCCCATGGACAAACCTAAAGATGGGATGAAGAACCAAACCCTGGTGTGTGATTTTTTTGTGATTGAATTGATATGATATGATAGAGGAATCTTAGGGGAGAAAATTGGGGTACAACATCTTCTTCGACTCATCGAAATCTGCTAACCACATTTTTTGACCAGTCGTGTGATTCGAGCAGCCTGAGTTGAGGAACCAGATCTTGGATTTGACATGGTTATCTGCAACGGTAGCCATAACCACCATATATATCATCAGAATCATCTAAATCTTGACGTGAAAGGTTCCCTCATTTGTCCTTGCCTTTTGTCGATCCCTTGTCTTTCCTTTACCAACAATGATTGGCCAAGTGACCCTATTTTTCACAGTTATAACACTGCACAGCTTTTTTCCCTTCTTTATCTTTATGATAGGAATTTTCTTCTCCACTTTTCGAGGATTCAGAAGTTCTGTCATCGACCTTATTCTTGTGAGGATTCGACCAAGACTTCTTTCCCTGAGTCTTGTAAATTTTTCCTTTGAATTTGTTGGGACCACTATTCTTTTTCCATGACTGAGCCTGCAGTGCTTGTATCAACTCTTGGACTCCTTTCCTTTTGACAATCCTAATCTCATGCACCTCTAATGAACCAACCAAATCTTCCAATTTTAGGGTTTCAATATTGTTAGATTCTTGAATAACTACGATAACGTGATCAAAGCGAGAGGTCAACGTATGCATTACCTTCTCAAATATCATCTTATCAGTTAGGATTTCACCATAATCCTTCATGAGATGGACGAGTTTCTACACCTTCGACACATAGCCTACAATCTTTTTGTCTTCTCTCATCGATAATAATTCATATTGTTGTCACAAGGTTTGCAACTTGACAACCATGACTTTGTCACCTCCTTCATAGGACTTGACAAGAATATCACATGCATCCTTCTCTGATTCAGCATGAGAGATTATGTAAAAATTTGCTGCATCAACCGTCGATTGAATGCAATACAAAGCCTTGCAATCTTTCTTCTTTGCATCCTTATGCGCGACTTTCTCAACATCGGTTGTATTTTCGACAAGCTCAGGGACACCATTGTTAACAACTTCTAGGGTTTCATGGAAGCCGAATAAGGAATGCATTTGTTTTCTCCATCGGATCCAATTCTTGCCGTCAAGAATTGGAATAGAATTCATAATACCGTTTATACGATTCATCTTTGCAATGATTGTGATTCACGTTTCCTATAAACACGATCTCTGACGCGTGATTCTTGAAAACATGATCAAGAATCTAACCGGAACTTTGATACCAATTTATTAGTACGTGAAACACTTTTAGTGAGGGGATAGAGATAATAAGGAAATAATGATTCTATTATTGAATTGAAATGTATAAACTGAATTTCAAACTCTGTTTATTTATATACAACTAACTTGTACACTAAGTAGACTAACAAACCCTAATTAATTAAATTTAAATTAGATTACTCAACTTGAATTATATTTTATATCTCAACAATAATCAAGCAAGTAAGATTAAAAAAAACTACTCCTTTGTATTTTTTATTTTATAATTTATATCACTTGAATAAAACATCCATATGAGATTACTTTACGAGATTAGTATTCATTAGGGTACAAATGAAGTTTAGATGGTAAGAATGAACTCTTGCTCATGAATATAAAAATTGACTATCTTTCTTAATTATGTTGTGTATCTAATGAATATCTTAATAATGACTTTCTTAAAATACCCATTAATTAATATTGATAATGTTACTCACTTGAGATCATTCGAAAAGTTCAAACGAAACCTAATTAAGAAAGTTTTGAAACATTTAAGTATTTTTTTTTCTTCTTGTGTGGTTGTTCAAACTCAACTTGATGATCCAATCCAAACTCCCTCATGACCCAACACACACTTAACTTCATATTTGTGAAATATAGTGAATCTTCCCTTCACACGTCTCGTATATAAAGTTAGTTAACTAATTATTAAATAGAGATTGTTATAAATGAATTAGTTTATATAGCGAACTTCTAATTTACAATCTTAAATCCATTCAATAATTTAATATCACATTTTCATTATAATACAATATGATGAATTTATTCATTATTTCTATTTTTATATTCTTTATTATTACTTCTATTTTACATTGAATGCAAATATAATTTATACAAAATAACACCCTAATTTTACAAATCAGTTTTATAGATATGAGTTAGATTAAACACTAATTTTAATATGGTGTGAGTCAAAGACTTATCAATTATCAATGACTTGTATATGTTTCTAACATTTAAGCCTAACATTTGAAGAAATCCAGCTTAAAAACTTTCAATTTTCTAGTCATTAAATTGTTTTACTCAATATCTGAATTTTTATACAAATGCATGATTGGATGGTGAAGCAAGGAAAAAATAGGCTAAATTACAATAGTGAGATTTGATCTAGAGATTGAACACTTCCCAAAAAATGAATTTCAACAATTGAACTTGAAGAAATACAAGAGTATATATAATCTGTAAAGAGGTAGACATTTGGATTACAGTGATGTTTGAAACCAAAATCAACTAACTAGCAAAAAAAAGTTATTCAACCAAAACTGAATAAGCATATTCAAGTAAACGTTTATGTATACATGAATGAAAATTTATAATTAATTTATGACTTTTTTTCCCTTTCTTGTTGAACTCCAAGCACCTATTTGCAATGCAAGAGCAGAAGAAAACTAATGAAAGAATGATAGTTTTAGTTGAAAACCAAATTATGGCAGGTTTTGTCACAAGGGTAAGCACACCCTATAGCTTGAACATTGACTCGGTCGAAAAACCAGTTCCCGACAGAATCCGCGATCCCCTGCTCGCATAATATAGCTTGATCAAAGTTACTATAAAGCAATAGTTGGAAAAGAATACAATAGTCGGATAAGACTTACTTTATTTCCAATATGAGGAGATCCGCGAGCAAACCATGTATCCTGTCTTTCCGATTGGCAGTGAGCGAAACACGAATTAATGAATAATCCATTTTGGCGCGACCATGAGAACCGTCTTGTAACTCTAAGCATCTGGTTACGAAAACCTGTTTCATTGTCGAAAATTAGTTGTAAGTAGTAACCAAACTGAGAAGAATTACTGACTTAAACTCGAAATAGCTTCTGAGTTATTGATTACCTTGTAGATATTGTATCTGCGGTGAACTGCAGCGTGCGTAATTTTTTCTGCAATCAAACCAATTCCAACGATAGTCAGCAGACGGTGGAGCTAGACTAGCTTGAATCTGTCGGAAAATTGAAGCAATCACGAATAGTTAAGGAACTGGCCGATGAATGATGATGAGACCTTTGAAAATATTCTCAAAGAAGAGTCCTTATACCTATTCAGAATTCATTGGTAACACAGAATGATCCTAAGTTTGAATCAATTAAGTACAAGTTATAGCATATATGACGACCACAATAACTGTCGTTGAAAACGTACAAGGCAGATTACTGCATAAGGTCTAAAATTTTCCACTGTTAAATCGTGACTAAATAGAGTCACATAACTTAATCATGGTTAAACAAAGGCTCTTATCGTTTTGTCATGGTTAAATTGAGAGTAGTTTACAATTTACACATCTAAAAACTTGAGACGACTGTGATGAATGAGAACTAGTTTTCATGCTATCGCAGATATTATTGTCCATGTTTTTCATAAGCACAAGTTAGAGGTGATTGAGAAAATTTCGAACCAACCGCAAGGTAAGTAGTTCAAGAAACTTGCCTGCCAAGTATCATAAGCTGCATTGAGAAGAAATAGCGGGGTCCTAACACTTGCGATTAAACGCTGAGGAAAAAAGCACTGAAAATGGGATTTTTACCTACTATAATGTTAGTATAATAGTTATGCAATTTTACAATCTTGAATGAATGAAATAGCAGTTACCAAAATCGGATTGCGGCGACTGGTACAGCTCGTTGGAAGGCTCTTATGCGCACCGTGTAAGGTGACTACACTTCCAAACAAATTCCTTAAACTACGACGGCCAGCTACATCGACGCTGAAATTCCAAATAATTATTTTATCATCAAATAAGAACCGATCCCGCGGGTAATAACGGATTAGAATTGAAAGTTGGTTAGTTAATGTTTACGAGTCAAGGAATAATCCAGCATCGCTAAAGCACTTTACTCGAGTAGTTCTTGGAAACAATTCTCGGAACTCATCGCAATGTAGTATAGCTGATAAACCTCCTGCAGAACACCCGGACAGAAGAGCCTAAAAACGAAAAGGTAATTGTATCACGCAGATTTGAAGAAGGTAATTATTTATTCTTTGGAATTTTGCGATGCGAACCTGTTTGGCATATCGCATTCCTTTTGACATTAAATCTTCCATTGCAGCTTGCCAAATGCGCTGCCCTCTGAAATACAACCCTGCTGCCTATGAAGCAAAGATAGACTCAGCATATTAATTCAATCGCGGAGTGAGTTTTAAGCCGGAGGTCCAGAGTTTGTATTCCTCTTTACCTCATTTTGACTGTCCCCACTAAACGATGCGCCATCGCAATAACGAATTTTGACTCTATTCCAGTTGTAAAAATCTGCAGATATATTCATCCAAATGATAAGTGTTGTTTACATTGTAGTTAGCAATGAAAAGAATAGTCATGTTGATGAGTCTAAGATTTATGACCTGGATTTTCCTGGGCTTTGTTGCTCAATATTCCAATGAAAGGTATTTGTTTTTCCATAAAATAGGATGAACCGTGACGCGTTTTCTTACTGTAAATACAATTTCTGATAGTTCCACACCAGCCTCCTCCCTGTCACCATAAGAAATTTAATCTAATATGTCTAATGTCCTGTCTTAGATGAACTTACTTCAAAGTAATCACATACCTCTAGATGTATCAACCAACTATTTGATCCCGAACCGTATCCACGGTGGAAGTGATAAGCCGGTAAAGATCCGTCTAGACAAACTACAAAAGAGAAGAAAATTGATTTTGAGTAATCAATTCTAACGGAAGAAAACAAAAACATAAGACTCAATTCTAGATATCATGATATCTCAAGATCTCAACTAAAGGCAACAAATGTGTCAAAATTGATTCTAGAGGTACACATTACATTCAACCAAATTAACAAAACAACAATTGAAGAAAACATACTAGTATGAAGAATGAATGGATAGAAGGTTACCAGCTCCTTTAGCAGCAGCTCCATTGATAAGAGTAAGACCAACCATCAAAGGTCTATTGTAGAAGCCTCTTCCTCTCACAAACTCCATCTCTGTCACATTACCATTCTCTAAACCTTCCACAATCACAAAACCTATCAACACAAACACACATAACACCTTCATGCCAACAAAACTCATGTTTCTTTGCCACATTGCCATATGCTTTTTACAACAGCAAACAACAAAAGTTTACAAGTAAGAGTTGAACAAGTATATATGTAGGAGGAAAAAAAAGGACAGAAAAATAAAATAGTAAAAGTGTTAAATTTGAGTAAGGTGAGTCACAAGTTAGAAAATGATAATAATAAATAACAATGTTTTTGGAGTTGGGTATAGATTGGTTATTCAATGTAGTATTAAAAGCATGTAGTAACTAAACACTGAGAGAGTTAAGAGGAGGATAGAAGAAAGATAAAGGAGTGGAGTTTTTTCATAAATCATAACTGCAAATTAAAAAGAGCTTTTGTAGCAAAGTTTATGCAATACAAGAATGCCATAGAGGTTGTTTTAGGAGAGAATATTATTAGGTATGAAATGAAATTTCTGTTTGGTTATGGCTGAATTCATTTAATAAAGTTGATTTTGATTAAAGTTGAGTTGAATTTAAATTGATTATGATTTAATAGTGAAATGATCATGTGAAACTTATTTTGATTAGACTAGTAAAAGATAAAGTTATTTATGTTTAAATTATTATTTTTGCAAAAATTATTTAAATCAAAAATTTTAATGTAAAAATCAGATTTAAATTTAAACATATCAAATTTAATTCTAATAATGTGTTTTATTTTGTGGTGGAAAAAATTGATTTTTGAATGAATTGATTTTGAAAATTTGATTATAGTTAAAAGTGAGATGAAAGTAAAATTATTTAAATTTGAATAAATTTACGAAGAAATGAGTTAAAGAGTAAATTTTAATATAAAAATCATATTCAAATTAAGAAATTACCAATTATTTCATCAAAGATAATCAATTAAAAAGATAGAATCAATTCTATTATAAGAATTAAACATCTCAAAATTATTTTAAAATCAATTTTATAACTCGAATTATTTAATTTATTTAGATTTGCGGTGGCTAGAATTGATTCTAGCCGAATTAAATTTTATAGAATTGATTTAATAAAATTAAGTTTAATAAAATTGATTTATTTTTAGATATATTTATGTAAAAATAAATTTAACAATAAATTTAGTGTACAAATCATTCCGAATAAATTCTGAAAGTAAAAATTATAAATTCTATTTGAAGTAGAATCAATTTTAATGACATAATTAATTCTATTTTTAATAAATCAAATAACATAAAATCATTTTGAATAAATTTTATATCTTTAAAATTAATTTTAAATCATCTAAAAATATAACCAAACATACACTAAATCAAACATGCACACCAAATGTATACTATATTTAGGTCCTATTAGAATTTTGATTTTAACTTCATAATTGGACATTTATAGCTAGTAATTGGACAAATCGAGATTGTCTTTACTTGTAAAGATAATTTTAGCTCATTTAAGACTTGTAATGAATACATTCACACATAAAATGTGATTTTTTTTAAATCAATTTATATTTAAATAGTTTGGTTCATAACTGCTTTTGTGTGTATATGTGTGAATAAATTTGAAAATTGATTAGAATTGATTTTGATCACATCACCAAACGTGATTCTAGGAATTGATTAGAAAGGTGTAACCAAACATAAACAAAGTATATGGTTGGTTGAGAAAATAACACCGACATAAGTATGAGGGAGGGAAAGAGAGCTGTACCACACTCTCTGAATCTGTGTGTTGAGAGTTGGAGATGATGGGGGCCATATGAAGCTGTATTGTGTTGTTTGAAAAATCCAATTTTCTATACAAAATATGTGTCCCACATACTGTCTCAACTTGTCTTGTTCCTTATACCTTGGTGCTACCGTCCTATATTTAATTCATGTATTTATCTTTTTATGCATAAGATGGCTCCCACTACACCACATCATGAAAATCGAATCTATCATAAATACTCTCACTGTCTCGGAGTATTTAAATATTGTTCAAGGTTATATTCTTTTGAGTCTAGCATTATGCATTCTTAAGAAGAAAAGTTTCAAATTCTTTGTATTTGTATTCATCAAAATAGAGTATTACTTAACTTTCCCTCTCTGAAAAGCTATGGATGCTTTGTTTTTATCTAAAACTCATCACCATTTTCAACCACCTAGCATCAAAACTCGTGTTGAATCTAATTTGAAATTCTGATAGACAGATAAGTAATGTTTTAATGCATGTCAAGATAGTGATCTCTGCAAAATAAGAGTTGGATAAAGTATACTGATAAAATATTTATCAGAATAAAGTCATGACAGATGTTTCAACATCTATTACAATATGTCAATCAAGAAAATACTGAAATGTAAATTTAAAAAATTACACGAATCTAATTTGAAATTCTGGTATACAAATAACTAATGTTTTAACGCATGTCGAGATATTGATCTCTGCAAAACAATGATTGGATAAAACATACTGATAAAATATTTATCAGAATAAAGTCATGGCAGATGTTCCAACATCTATTACAACATGTCAACCAAGAAAATACTGAACTGTAAATTTAAAAAATGATAATAACACAAAGATATAATGACTCAGTTCTGTGTACAACAACACCTACTCTGGGGACTACCAAGTCAAGAAGAAGATTTCACTATCAGTAGTATTATGTTATGTAAACAACCTTCATTTTATCTAATCACTATTGTTGTACCCCAAAATTTGCCCTCTCATTTCTCAATAAATCTCTCATAAGATCTCTATTGATTCACGACAACACAAGGTTTGATCAGCTCAAGACACCTCCTCAACACTGACAACTCAAAATTAGGGTTTGAGTTTGTACAAGGATAATTGAACTTCTAATTCCTTATATGACTTTCATGGATCATTTTGGACTCTCAAGATTGCTCATGTCAAGTTTCAAGCTTTGAATCACATTTTTGTTCAGTCAACTGATCAGTTGACCTAAAATCAACTATATTAGGGAAAAAGTCAAGTATGGTCAATTTACAGTCAAACTTCATAATTTTTTATCCATACCAATATTATGAACTCATATATATCAGTTGATCAAGTTGGATCACATTTCCTCAAAGAAATTTGATCAGAACACCAAAAGGGCAAAATGGTCAAAATTAGGGTTTTGATTGAGAAAGCCCAGTTCTTGACTTTTGACCAAGAAAATGACTTGTTGGTTTAAGACATGATCTCAAGGGTTCAAGTGCATCATCTTGACCTAATTTCATAGTTCAAATCACATTTCAAGATTATTGGATTGACAGATGAATTTCAGTCAACTAATGAAAAGCCAACTATACACTGAAAAGTCAAATTTTGACTTTTTGATCAAAGTCAAGTTTCAAAAATCATATTTCATCAAGACATGTAAAAATGTGAAACTTGTTCATCAAGAAATTAAAAATTCAAAGTTATCTTTGAAAAGTCAAAATTGTAGGACTTAGGATTTTTTTCTAAGTGTTGAAAAATTAACATTTTTTCATAACTTTGTGTCAAATTTCCACCATGATGGAAGATGATTCAAGGGAAACTTCCAACATGAAAGTTGTAGATCTCAATGAGATATAAAACATTGACGGGCAGAACTTTCTCTAGAAATGTTTGGATTTCAAGTTATAAATTTATGAAGACATGTCCATGAAACTAAAAAGACTTAGTGAAACTCTGCCCTAGTTAGTCAGGATTTTGACCTAACTTCATGGCAACTTTTCACCTAGTTTCAAATTGAATCTTCAAAAATTTCCAACATAAAGGTTGTAGAGGATGTTACAAGCTTTCCAAAATATCCAAGAACTCATCAATACCATGCTTGAGCTAAGAGAATCGAAGGCAAGAAGTTAGAGTTTCAAACTTGTTTTGCAAGACATATTTTGTGATGAACATGAACCAAATTCATAGCCATGCTGCATAATCCTCACTTTGAAGGCCTCAAACTTATTTTCCACTCAATAATTAATGGTTTACACAATTGATTATACCCTTATCCAAGTGCTTCAAGCTTTGTCCAAACCAATTTGCCATTTTGGGGAGAAAGTAACATATCCATTCTTGTAAAGCAAGTTTTATGCAAAGTCAACTCGCATTGAGCCTTGCGCTTGTTCTTTCTGCACACACAATCCCTATAAACCAAAATCAAGCATGTTTAAAGTTCTAACCACTCTATACAGCCCTGTACCATGTCCTTGGAACAAGATGTTTCAACTTTGCTTCAAAAACAAATAAAGTTGCCACAACTTGAGAATTCAAATTCTGAGTTGTTGTAACACTTGAAACCTCTTGCCTATAAATATATACACTATTTGCAAGCTAACACACAAATTCACAATCCCTCAAACACCCCCAAAGTCATAATTGCATAACAAACCTCCATTGTTGCATATTCTGGCCAAAAATCCCAAAATCAAAATTCACTCGTGCGTTTCTTGGCCTTTTGCTTCCAAAAGCTTCTAAACATAATACATAAACAATCCCAACACATGTTATCCAACTGTAACACCATCTTCATCAACTTCCATAACCAAAAAACAGAGCTTGCATCTTGACTTCTCTAGCACGACTCAAGCACTTCCAGCACCAAGTTAGGGTTGCATTAGCTTCTTAGGAACTTGAGGAAGCTAACCTGATCATCACCACCACTTGAAACAAGTTCAAACTCATTTCACGATTTCCAGTTTTTGAGGTATTTTTCTGAACTTCCATCTCTTCATTTAGGCATTGTTAGGCTTGCATTTTCAAAGATAAAATGTAGATATCATTGCCCTGAAACTTCCCATGTCCATGGTTTTCATTTATATTGATTGAGTAGGGAGAATTTTGAAGTTGAAGTTTCAGAAAATATTAGGTTAGGTTTGGTACCAACGGAAATTCTTGCTCATCTTTGAGAATTAGTTTAAGTTATTTACATATTTAGAATTGTGGTGAAATTTCTAACAAGTTTGGTGTTTGAAGTTTTGAAAATGATTGAGAAATGGCTGAGTTACAATTTCAAATATTTGCTCTATAAACTGGCGCGAGGAAGAAGATGAAGTTCATGCTTATAACTTGTTTTTTAATATAATTGTATGGTTTTGATTAAGTTAACGGA